GTACCTCATTTATCTTCGGGATTTTAAATATCGCCTCCCTTCAGTGAAATATTACTTCCACGTACCGGGACCTAGCAGGCCTACACCCTCTTAACCTCTTGGAACTTACAAATCCCTGCTACTCGATCAAAACCACTGTCTTTAATGAAAAGTGCGTCGTTATGAATGTTCTCTTCGGCTAAGCAAACATGTCTCCCCTCTTTTAGCAAAAAAATGTAGTCACTTCTTTTGCAGTGTGGAGAAGTATTGGCATTTAGTTCATTTAATGGCCTTCACAGCGACTAACTAGACCACATCCAGTTTTCTTCTGTGGTACTTAAACACAGTTTTTTCTGTAGGACGAACTAGCAGCGTATGTTTCCGTAGCAACACAGATGTGAACACTTCGCCAGTATTTAAGTTAAAAATAATGCAACTGATAATAAAAGCGTCTGTGTTCTTTCGGTTTAACAGAACATTGTCGTCGTCCTAATTGCAAACTCTGGGACAACAATGGCATGCTACATTTTGTTTTTATCAGGAGAGGCAAAAACTGCTTTAAATATTCAGTGTTTCATGAAAACCCATTGTTAAATTATTTACTTTTTACCTTAACAAGCACACGAGATAATCTTCTTGCAGCTTTAGAATAATAATTTTAATACCCAACAGTACGATTTGGCCATTTCGGATGTATCCCCTTTTTGCATAAAAGATTTCAAACTTTTTCTTTTTCAGGATTTTTCTCTCATCCTGCGGGATAATATAGAAACAGTTCCCCGAACTTTTTGATGTTTGTTTTTGTCATGAAATTATATAAATACGTTAGCCCTTTTCGTGAAATTTGTGAATGCCCCAAGGTAGCAGGACCGTGACAAAACGTTGACATAATGAGGCTGGGGATATAAGCTGACTTTTGTGATGGAGGTAATCAGAGTTAAAAAAACACAGCGAATCATATAATAAAATAAATATATTTTTCTCAAGGAATAACATTTAGATTTGTATTTTTCTGACTGATAAAAGTATATAGCATTTGGAAAACTTTCTGTGTGGTGACTTCCCCGTGAGAAATTATCAACTTATAGGTTGGTACTTGTGCTATTACGAACTTCGCAGATTAGCAGTTTCCTTTTGAAGATTGCAGTGGCCACTTCCGCCCTAGGCGTAAGTGATTAATGGTTTGAAACTGAACTTTTGTAGACCTCGCAGTTGCAGTGAGTCAGGCAGGTATCAAGTAGGTAGTGATTTCAAATAATTCATTACTACCAACTTCTAAACTTTGGTTTTCACTCATCGTCTTCTTTTCCCCCTTCCTTGTAGACTATGAAACAAGACTCAAATGAGTTCGTTTTTATATTTAATTTGTTTCGTAAATAGGATTTGAGGTTTTCACGGCGGTGAGTTTGAAGATGGCTGCTTTCTGGGCTGTAGAGTTTACCGACGTTTCAGAGAACCTTTCTCACTTTGTTTTATTTTCAGGTTTTATGTAGTATGAAAACTGGAAAACGAAAGTGTTGTCATGAGTTTATTCCATGTGTGAGCCTCTTGAAATTCAAAAATTTTGTATTTCCAGCTGAAGATATATATATATATATATATATATGGGAGGTGCTTGTCACACCTTCAGATGTTGATGGGCCCCCGATCTGGATTCTTGGGGAACGTAAAGCACGTTTCTCAAAATATCTGCCCTTTTATCTTTCCCAGAACTTCATTCGCCTTTTGCAGTATCTTCCATTATCTGTCTACAAAAACTATTAGACGAAATAAACTTCTGAATGTACCAGATCGCATAACGACGTCGTTGAAAGTCATGGCTTGCTCCAAAGTTATAACTTCCCCCAATAGAGTGTTGTGAAGCCTTTTAGTTTATTCAATATTATAAAAACTTTTAATTTGGTTCCTCCGTAAAATGAGAAATGTTATTTGTTCCGCTCAGACACCTGCCAACGAAGCACATAATAATACTAGGGACCGTGTTATATAAAGTCCGATTCTGAAATTTCTCTTTCTTAGCCATAGCTCATATTAGATCGCTTAGTTATATTCGGGAATAATTAGCCTCATTTGGTTGGGATTCCACCGTTACTGAATTTTTAACGGTCTTCCTCAGTCACTCTACCTAACTGGCATAAAAGTACAGTACTGCATAAAATTTCCCAGAACAGCATCGACAGTTTAATCTAATTCACACATTATTTCTTTAAGATCCTTTTTAATAATATCATCCTCCCACTTCCTGCCGAAATTAAGGCTGATCGCAGTTAATTTTTTATTTTAATATCTTGTTTTTCATTCTTGTTTCGAAGTAAAATTTGGTTAATGTGAGTGATATTTGAAGTGTGAAGATTTCTATCTTCTGGAATGTTTCGCCGTGTAGACATTGGCAGACGTTTCGTAGACACGTACTACATCCATCATCAGGACGATTCGCAAAGATGCAGTAAGCACCTCTGAAATATTGGTCAATTTCTACCAGACGAGGTGCAACGTTTCATAAAAGAGCCATCTCAAATAAGCACCCCGCTATGCAGGCGTATGGGGGAGTGGAGGTATAGGTTCACCCACTCATAACCTCGGCACTGTAAAGAGGTGAGTGGCCAGTTTCACGCACCGGCCGTTTTATCCCATCGAGTTGTGATTCATGTGCAGAAGAAAGAATCCGTTTCACCACGAGCATTTGGGTGATTAGCAGCAGCCGATGTTCTACACGGGTTTAAGGGCGAAAATTAAGTGGCTGTGCGCTAGAGACTGTGGGCGGTGAATTAGGCCCCTAATTAATTATTGGCCGGACTTACGACTGAACAAGGTTGACTGTTACCCTAATTCTCCGTAGATGAGTTCAGACGAGCTTGTGGCAGGCTTGTCAGGTTGCTGTACAATGATTGGTTATTTGATTGTTTCACATTGCAAAATCAGGTACTGAAGTTAAGTACCGGCTCTTTAGATATGGTAAGTTAGTTCATTAATCATGGAGGTGTAGAAGGAAGTAATCGTGACTCACTTGAAAATATTATCATCACTTTTCAATGGAAGTACTGAGGAATCGTGACTCACTTGAAAATATTATCACCACTTTTCAATGGAAGTACTGTTAAAAAAGTTTTTTCGTGAGGCACAACTTCCCCTAATATACTATCCAATAAGCCCCAAAGTCCCTTAACAACAAATGAAAACCAACCAGCGCTAGATTATTATAAAAACAGATCCTGAATTATTTACCTCATTTTTCTTAGGCTGAGGTATTCTCTTCGACACTGTTTTTCAGACACTTTTAATTGGTGATCTTTCCTGAAAGACAGTCATTTTTTAATCCCATCTAACGCAACCTGAGCAATTTGTTATTTTTCAGTGTTTCTTAAAGTATTAATGATACGTAACGGTAATGCCGTTCCTAATTAACCATGTTATATCATTTCTGATGGATTAAAAAATTTGTAATTTACGACTGTCGTCTATATAAACTTTTCAAGAGACGTTGTGTAATGAAACTTTTTAATCCAGAGGCAGAAGTCATTGTCCTCGGCCTGACAATTCTTTTGCTGCTTACGAGCCCGGAACTAGTGCATTTGTCCTCCCGAGAGGTGAAAAATGGTCTGAGTGCTCGTTTAATCACCCCTCCCCCTCGCGTTTTCTCCAGCTTTCGATCTCTTCTTTTGTCTTCAAGTCCTTTGTGAATTCAGGTAGCTCTACTCGACGCGTTCTGAAGAAATGCTGCTCTTCCCCTCCTGGATATATGATCCAGAAATCTCTTCCTTGCGACTTGTTTTTTATACTTTTACTGACAGAGATCAGGGGAATATCTGTCATAATAGTTTCTTATCGGCTTTTTCTTTAATTTGTAAATGCCAACGGAGAACGTTAAAATGCTTCGTTTTCAATAGCCAACCGGAGATTTGTTGTAGATGGCTGTCTTCTGGGATGTTGGGTCGCGTAGTCTGATACTGACCGCGTTTAGATATCGCCCTGATGATGAAAGCAATAAGTACCTCTGAAACGTCCGTCAATTTCTGCCATATTGTATGGCGCAACATCTCAGAAGACAAAAAATGTTTTATTTGCAGTTGAGAACAAGTTAATAATAATAATATTAATAATAATAACTTGTTAACGTGTGACTTATAGGTGTACAGGTCGAAATTTGGTAAACACGTTAATGCTGTTACCTATGCGCGCATGCCCCAATTTTTTTTTATTTAGAATATAGATATATTTAACGATAAATAAGAAGCAAAGTTATATTTCATCTTGGAACAACATTCCTCCCGCACTGGGTGTCCAAAATGTTCCCTCTTTTTCATGTTTCGACCAAGGTTTTGCGTGCATTTCTCTTATGCTATATTCCCTGACAATTTAATCGTATATTTTATCATCTCAGTAATATTTGATGAAGGTTACAAATTATTAAGCTGCTCATTGCGAAATTTTTTCTATGCAATAAACACATGAATTTTAAATTCCCTTCCTGTTCTTTACTTAAAATTTCCACTTTGTAACACACCTTTATTTTTATTATTTTAATTTTAAGGACTGTCTTTTTTTAATATTTGCGAGTAAATTCTGTGGAATTGTGTCCGGAGGAATTTTTTTTTCTTTTTAAAATACTTGCGCCAGCGTTGGGTCGTTGGCTTCCCGATGTCGATCGTCGCAATCTAAACCATCACGAAAAGTAGCATAACCCAACCTAAATTGACCTTAATAATATAGTATAACCTCTAACTTAACCTAATCAGACTTACGCCTTACAGTAAGACGCTGGCAACCCGACGTCGACGCCGACACGAGACCCGGGACGACACACAACGGAGTGCTAGCAAACCGAAGCCAAGCGTTGCGGCGCCTACAGCCCCGACGCCGAAAGAAATGTCTAAATAAAGGAACAAATTAGCCTGCAGATAAAACCCAGAAGACCCCCTTGGACAGAGACCTCGTAACCAGTTTACCTGTCACCAAACACTTCTCTCGTACTCTGGTCAGAATCTGCTAAAGAAGTCTAACGCTAATGCGTTCTGTTGCAGCCCTGGTTACCGGGACCACAATTCTTATTGGATCGGAGCTTCGGACAAGACTTACGAGGGCGACTTCCGGTGGTCTGATGGACTTCCTTTCTCTTACACCAGTAAGTACCGATAACAGTAGATTTCCGGTTTCCATTTGTTTCATGTGTACTTCTCCTTTTAATTAGCCTCGCTGCTGTGCTTTTACGCTTTGAAGTAGGAACTTCATATGAAAGCCAGACTCCAAATAATATTACTTACAAACTGGGTTCGGACCTCGAAGAAAACACCACACTTCACCATTGCAAAGATCGACTGGTTAATGTTGTTTAGGGAAATAATCGCTGTTTGTACCGAGAATCATACGCTACTTACAAATACATTCTTTGGAAAAAATACAGAGTCAAATATTAAATTATGTGGTACATATTGTTACCACTGGGCTTTAAATGGTTGTCAGTATCTTTAGTATAAATAGATCAGTAAATAATACAATTACTGGCTTATAGTTCTTGCTATTGATTCCATAAAAACTGTAACATTTTAACATAAGCTTCGGAAGTTTTTCCAAAAAAATTGTATTATTTAATAAACAGCTGTTGTTTCTTAATTACATTTAAATCGTATACAGAGTGTTCCATAAGTCCAGCATCATGAGAAAAATACTAAAAAAAAGGAAAAATAAAAGCTATAGATCATGTTTCCTTAAACTTTACAAGTTTGCTAACACGACTCTGGGTCTTTGGCTCAGATTTTCTATGCGTAGAATTATTTGGATTAGTTTTTCCTTTCTCAGAGACATTATTTCCTGTATAAATAGAAAAATATTAATTGTGTTTTGTATAAATAGAAAAATATGATTTTTTTCCTATGATGCCGGACTTATGGGACACTCTGTAGTAGTAGTAAACTCATAGTGTTCATCTGAATTTCAGAACCAGGCCCATGTAGATGTACTATACGTCATAATTCTAGTTATTGTAATTTTGTTTCTTCAGTGTTTGTTCGCATAAAATGTCTTTCCATGGGTATTTTGTGTTTTGTTCTGTTGTGCGACTGTAGAACTGACAGGTAGCGCTGGCTGCTGGTAAGCAGATGAATCAGTAGCGCTTGTGGCAGAACACAACTCATCCTCCTGTAACATTTATCAGACAGCTTCTGGTTTTGAGAAATAATGTCGTGCACACGTTTCCTTCCCAGCCGCAATGCAACGTCACACAACTTCCGAAGTGTAATCAAAACTTTGTGCAGCGGTCTGTGTTTTAAGTGTTCTCAATTCGTGATTTTGCAGCTGGAAATAACCTATTGAATGTGCATGTTTTTTTCACGTAAATACGTCTATAAGGAAGGGTCATTCGGCAAAAAAGTGTTACGAAAAAGGGAAACGAAAAAGTGTAACTGCATTGTTATGTTACCTAGGAAACGTCATCTGTTTACTCGGCATTGTTGTGTTATATTACTGCCGTCAATAATCCGCTATCGCAACAAGATGGATGACATTGAAGATAACATTACATTACATTTCATTAATTTACATTACATTACTTTTTATTACATTACATTACACTACATTACTTTACATTACATTACATTACTTCCATTTATGCAAATTAGGAGGTTAAGACATAAATTGGGTGCATTTGGGATACTGGGACATGTAACCAAATGTTCCAGTAGATGTTAATAATATGGTAAGGTTACTACCTAGAGAATTGGACGATGATTACAGTTTCAACGTCCATATAAAGAGAAACTTGATTCACAAATCTACGTATCTGGTAGGAATAAAGAATAAAGGAAATATTTAGAATAAAGCCAATATATAAACTTCCTTACAGTATAGACGTATTTACGTCAAAATCTCCGGAACCGTGGTTCCACTGTCAATTTTTTTTACAGATGTATTATGTTGTATTTAACCCATTTTATCCAGTTTCATAACGCTGTTATTATTATATTATATTGTTTCACCCCACAACCAAGTCTCTTAACGCCATGATTAATTCAATTACGGAGTTCGCTTGGCAAAGAATAAGCAGAGTTAATTTGTACATTGAATTGCGAAAGGCGGAAAGCGATGTGAATGACGGTCACTTCTTAAAGTAGTGTCTCTGGTGCGAATTGTGAGTCGCTTGCGAGGTTTTCAGTGACGTGACAGCCTCCGGTCGACTTAATATTTTCTTTTTTGACGAAAAAAACCGGGACATAAAGAAGTAGTAGTCTATTTTATGTGCACTCGGACTCAACCTCAATGAAGCCTCACAAATATGGGTGGCCAGTCGCCCTTCTGTTTAGCATCAGTTATACTACCCCTATATCCACCAGGGTAAGAGAGTACAAATACGTTTTTTGTACCCATAGTTAGTATTTAGTATGCCGTACATGATCTCCATTTTAATCTGCCTTCACATTCCGTGTGAGAAATCATCAAAGAGGGGGTATTAAAGGATTAAATGATTGTGAGTTATTTTGTAGTTCGAACTGAAAGTACATTTTCCCTTAAACTTATCCGCCAGAGCACGTCTCAGGTGAGCGAGATTCAATTTACGAGAGAGTTTCAGAGTTACGAGGTAGCTTCACTGCTCGATTTGGTTCGACAACAAGGGACCAGACGAATGCATTATTATAGTCGATCCTAGCCAATCTCTGGGGTTAGGTTACTGACCAGACTGCGTTCGACATACTTAAGGGTAAAGTGGAGAAAGACAGTGTTTCTCTTCATACTCGCAGCCGTGGGAACCTGAAATCTCACGGAGAATTTTGTAACTAGATTTTATTAAATTTGAAAGCAAAATTCGAGATAATATGTGAGCCAATAAATGCTTAATAATATACCAGTAGAGGAAGAAAAATACATAGTATATTAGGTCTATGTATTTATTTGTTGGCGTCTAGAGCAGTTTATTTTTAATATCCAGAAATTTTGGTATAACACTAATTCTAATTCAACACACTAAATGTACCGCTAACCAAATACGTTCAGGAAAAACTTATTTATGTTATATTATTTTTTGATTTTCTTGCTTAGTTCGCGTACCACTCAACATTGGTTCACGTACCATAGGTTGAGAAACGCTCTTTTAATGGTTAGGCGTTTTGTTTTCTTTGTGGTAAGAACTGAATTTTTAAATATTATTTAGATGAGATGTGGGCTACGAAAAATGATGGGGAAGAGTTTCGAGAATCGAAATCAATAATCGTTCGATTGATATGACATTAGTTGTCACCGTTAGAAACTATGATTTCTCCTCCTTTTTTTCAACACTTGAGTCGCGATGTGTCCCGGTACTTGATGAAGCCATTGATCTTGATCGCACTCTTTGAAAAAGTTGCTTCGCCGTGTCTAGTGGGACTGTAAAAAAAATTGGATTTCATGTTATGGGAGGCGAAACTAACAAAGGATTCTGTCGTGATGGGGAGGGTGTCATGGCGTAACGCTTGTGACAAGGATGACGTCGGAGATTGATGACGGCGACGTGTTGTCCTGTCACGCCGTAAAACAAAAGAGTTTAGACGAAACACTTTGCGCCATACACAACACGAGATGCGTGTTTGCAACCAAATTCGTTGTTGATGTACTTAACCATTTGAAGCCGAAACAGAAAGAGAGGCGAGGGGGTGAGAATGTGTTGAGAGCGACACTACATTTGCTACGAGGATGATTTATATTTTGCCGGCTCCGAAGGTTCGCAGGCAATGCCCGCTTGTCCTTCTGGTAAAGGTAGTTTATATAGAAGTAAAAACGTTTATGGACCGGCAGCAGAAACCCCTTCAAATTATTTGTTTTATTAAATCAAACATTTAGACAAGAGTTTTAGGTAGGTATTTATTTACTGAGGTCTCAAAGAATAATGAGAATCTCACAAAAAAGTGTAGACGGAATGCAGAGGCATTGGATTTTGCACCCTCATCCCCATGCGGCGTTCATCTCGTTCTTGATTAGTTAATATACTGGGTGATTCAAAAAGTGAGGGCCAAACTGAAGGAGCGTATAGAAGGACTCAGAGGGAACAACTTTCGATTAGGAATCCATGTCCTCCGAAGTTATCCCGAGTCAGTCAAGACCATTGAAGACAGGGAAGTCTGATAACATACCGCTGAAATAATCGTACTTTGCTATTCTCCTACTAGCTTAATTTTGTTTTTTTTAATGTGCAAGGATTACATTAGCAATCTCACAAACCAAATTATGTCAGCGGTATGTTATCAGACTTCCCTACCTTCAATGGCCTCGACTGACTCAGGATAACTTCGGAGGACATGGATTCCTATTCGAAAGTTGTTCTCTCTGAGTCCCTCCATAAGCTCTTTCAGTTTGGCCCTAAACTTTTGAATCACCCTGTATAATAGCTGCTGAGGCGGAATGACAAGTGATCAGCCACCAGGAACCGGAAAATAATATCACCAATAGATCGACGTGTTCTTATCTCTGACATTCTGCGTTTGAATTTAGGCACTTGATCCTGATATTAGTTTCAAAATCTGATAAGAACAGAGGTCCATAAAACTGAAGCCTGTAATTCGTGCTCCCGTTTTGAATCTGGAGCCGCAGAACATTGGCTGTCCTCTTTGAGGTTTATATTGGGTTTCCTCAATCCCTCCAAAGTTGACGGGTCGGTATCTTAAAGAAGTCAACATCGTTATCTTTCCACATCCGTCCCAGTTTATAAAAACAGTAACATCTTGGCATTCGACGTTATACGAGCAGTAACATCTTGGCATTCGACGTTATATAAGCTGTGTAGTTAAAACAGCATCAATAAACAACTCAGGAATCAGTCAGTAAGGTTTGTTTTTATGTTTCGAAATGCTTTTATTTCGGTCTTAAATCTACACGGTATTTTTAATATGAAGATATTTGTCTCCGTTTTCGGTAATACAGTAAACAGTATGCAATTCAGGTCAAGAATGTAAGAGTTGTCCAATTTGACCACAAATTTATGCCATATGGAATTCAAACTATTTTTAGATTTCAATACGTTTATACAAAATCAAACTTCTCTGGTAATTGTGAATACACATGCACTGAGATCCACCTTCGCAGAGAAGCAAGATGTGTACTGAATTTGCATTACAAGCTTACAACATTAAGTCCACGATTACCAGAAATGAAGCATACATTTCGTGCAATTTACGTTGTACGAAATAATTGTCCTACAAAGGTATCTTAGCATAGAATGAAAGAGGAACTTCTGTGCGTCAAGACTGAGACATCAGAGTTCAAGGAACAGCACCAGTGTACGTTATCGACATGAGTGAAGAGTAAACAAATATTAAGATAGTGCAGAAGGTTGAGAAATTCCCGGTAATATACGATTATTCGACCCCGGGCCACTCAAACAATTTTTAAAACGAAAAGATTTATGTTAAAGTGTGTACTGCCAATGAAGAGCTACATTTTTTTTTCTTCAAAAAGTAAGAACACAAATGTTTCCTCATTTCAACGGCCTCAGTAGTTGCTCTTCTGCAGCAGGGCTGCAAGTTTTGGAATATAGATTCACAACTGCCTTTGTCATGGTCATCATCATCTTCACCTAGACTCTGCTCGCTAAATAAGCCGTCCTTTAACCTGATGAAGTTATGGAGGACACAGATTGCCCGTATTATATTGTCTGTTTTATTAGGTTTACACGATATAACCGTTCCAAGAATCAACTAGAGAAGATATGATAAGACGCAAACACGTACTACTTCGGTGTGCGGACTCGAGTCTGAATCACGAATGAAGCAAGACTGCGTCTTTTGTCTCATGCATTGATGCTTGTCTTGACGCAGTTGGTGTGCGGCCGCCCTTACAGTTTAAAAGGTCTCTACCCTTCTGTATCAGTGGAATGTTCAGTGTATGTTAGTCGTTATTATAAATTTTAATGTGCATTCAACAGTTCAAAAGGTTTTCCGTAGGATACTTAATTACTTTTCCGTTTGTTTCCAGTTCTCAAAATATACGATTATAAATCATTTCTTCTTCGTGTGGTTTGCAGAAAATATCTTTGTAGTGGACTGTGGTAAGGGATGAGGGTTGTTTCAGAATTATTCCTGAAATGTTTTATTACCCTGTTGAATTTAGTCGGGTGTATATACTCGCAGCAGGAGAAGCTAATGTTTTGTTAATGCTCCAAGCGGGGGGTCCTTATTCTCTGCAACATATACATTCCCCGTCTGTCTGTCTGTCTGCCTGTCTGCCTGTCTGCCTCTCTCTTCCCCCAAATTAATTTCAGCTAAAGTTGGTTAATTAATTTTCCTAATTAGTTTAACTACGTTTACGTGTCCTTAATATTATAAGAAGAACGTACCCTCCTTTCGTCACCGCCCGACTGTTAACAGCTGAAGTAAAACGGAAATAAAGATTTTTTGAAATAAAGTTGTGTTTTGCTAAGCATTTGCATTCTTCCTTACAAATGTGTTCCGTTATTTTTAAACTACATCCCTAAAATTTACATATTAAAATGAGACCGTCTACTGGCCGAAACTAGTGAACGGATTTCGATTAAATTTGGTAGATATAATCAAGGCTGTGGAGTCGGTACTAAAATCTTCGACTCCGACACTGACTCCGGCTTCGACTCCGACTCCGACCCCTTCATAAAAGCTCAATATGTATATATATGAAATGTTAAATGGCACCATAAGAGATTTTATCACCACCACGTGAATCATCAGCATACTTCTTTTAGACTTATAACCTTTATTTAAGTATACGTCTAATTGTTATTACAGAAATCGGTTGATTTGTAGACAGTTTGTATTCTTAAGGTACCGGAGCCAAAGCTACAAATTATTATTCCCACACTATGTGGCTCAACGCGTCGTTGAATCTCCATACACGGTATAGAAATTGTTCTTAAGATTTTTATATCGAGGTCGGAGTCGGAGTCGGTACATTTTTACCGACTCCACCTAAAATTGCTTCTGACTCCTACTCCACAGCCCTGGATTTAATAGAGTCTGCAGAGAAGTTATTGGAGGACAGTGTTATTATTTTTTAATATCTGGCCACTACAGACAACGGCTTCATTTAGTTTAAAATGATAGGAACGTGTGACGCAGCAATTCTTACGTAAAGCAAATAGAGACCTTGCTAAACTACACAGGCTTTATTCGGATCATTTTTCGGTGTGCAGTAGGGTTTATACAAAAACCGACTTTTGAAAAAACCGGTTTTCGAATTCAAGTATTTCCAAAAAACCGGTTTTCGAATTTTTACAAAAAATATAATTAAACAGTAAAAAAATATTTATACTTATTTTAAAAAATTTCAGTTTATGTAATATTTATGGAACTACAAAAATATAACAAAATAAAATATACACCATACAAAATCAAATAGAAAAACTAAAATAACTAAAATCCGTACAAAATATAAATTATAAATTTTTATTCCATTTAGTATTTTTCTTCAGGAAATATGATTTCAAAAAACATAAAATGTCCACTGGACGATTACTTAATCTTGTTCTTATTCTAGATACAAAATTGCCTGAAATAGAAAATACACTCTCACTGGCTATTGAACTTGATTTTATCGTTTTCAGGGCATCAAATAATAAATCTAAATTCTTTGTTCTTTTATTGGTTGCCTCAAATACTGAAAATTCGGTCTTCAGGGTTTATATTCATCATCGGAATCTGTTTCCATACAAGAATTTGGATATATTCTAGACAATATTTTTCCAGATAACTTAATAATATCGAGTTTCGAAGCTACTGGAAATACACTAGATTTCTTTGTTGAAATGTTTTGTAGATTTTGCAAATATAGCAAAAGGGTTACCAATCCAACTTGTCTTCTTTCTTGAATTCGTACTTCTAAAGCATTTAATAATTTGGAACTAATTTCAGTCTTTAAATTTTTTAGTTCATTTAACATAAATTTTTACATATTAATTCTAGTATCTAAAACCGGTTTTTTCAATTTTAAAAACCGGTTTTCGAATTTTAGAAATTTATAAAAAAAACCGGTTTTTAAAAACCGACAAACCCTAGTGCGCAGAAATATGTCTCACAAAATACAAATCAATATAATTTGTTTTAAGTTTAATATCTGCGCTCTTTATTTGTTTTGCAACTAAAAATTTGTAATGTCCGAAATAAGTAAATGCCAAGGCAGCTGCCGTGTTGTAAAATAGCACAGAATATGCTTGTAAAATTTTTATAGACCTCCTGGAAACTGGAGTTAACATTTCGCTTATTTTATCTTATCACAGACTTTAATTCTAAATGACGTAATATTTAAAGTAATTTGTTTAGGAAGAATTCATCTCTTTGTGGGAATAACAAATTATCCGATTTCGTATTTGTCCCGCTAACAGTTTGCAGAGTTCTATATCACCTCCAAAATTAAATTTATGATACGTAGTCTGACAAATGGCAACATCTGAAAACTTCCATAGTCATTGTCGTAACGTTAATTAGTCGGCATTGGTCTTGTGGGCAAAATACTGCCGGATGGAATTGTAGGTGGGTGCCAACGTTTCGAAGGAGCGCACTGCCTCCATCTTCAGGACTGAAGACGGACATAATATGTTCCTCAGAATCTTCGTATCTTTCTACAGTTACCAGCCGGCAGTATTTCCCGGAAGATCGGGATCGACATATTCACTGTCATAACAACTTTTAAATCTCATATAACCATAGATTCTTCTTTTGATAAGGAAATCTGGTCAGTGAATGTCATGGTTGGACCTCAAGATTAACCTTCTTGTCGTCTAGGATTTTATTTTTCGACAGGTCAATATTCAAGAAGTTATTTGGGGTGTCTGATATCTTTCAGCCTTCTAACACGTGGTAACCAGTTTTGTGTGTTCTGCCCTAAGATTTCTTTCTGATTCAATGCCGAGTAATTACAAAATATATTGTAATTTCTCGTAACCTAAGCAAGAGACATAAAAACAGACTCTCAAATCGTACACCAACTGTACAGTTTCAGTGGAATAATAATTTTACGCGAGATGCGTAGGATAACCGGAGCAGAGATTTTATCGCAGTCCCATTTGTTCGTTCAGACGTACACCTGCGACCTGCAACGGTAATTGAACAGGCCAGGGAACGTCGCCTTAGGTACACACAGAACGAAAAGCCAGGAACGTACAACAAGCGAAACGTCGACATGGTTTCAGATGCCTCATGGACTGCCAAGAACTTTGCATGTCGCAAATTTTAATCTGATCTGTTTCTTAGTCTATATTATACACGTACTGCCTCCATCTTCAGTGTGTTCCTCTGAAACTTTGGCGCACAACCAAAATATTTCACGGCGCACTACAGAGCTAAAGATGGCAGTCTTCTTAGCTGTTGCACCGCGAAGACTGGTAGAAATTTGCCGACATTTGAGAAGTACTTGCTGCCTCTGAAACGTCGGAAGACTTGTACCAGACTACACGGCGCGAAAGCCCAGAAGACAGTCATGAGAGCCTGAAATTTGTCTAACCAACGCAGTTTCTGGGTAAAACTTCGTATGCAGCCTCCTTCTGGTCTGAATGTTGGGTGACACTGGGTTGTGTAGTGTTCTCGCCTGAGGAACACGATTTGTTCTTGCAGACTGGTTCCCCGGTTGGGCCCAACATAACCACTACAACCGCCAGCCAAATGACGATGGTTACAGCGAGCAGGACTGCGTCGAGCTGCGTCGAACTTACCACATGCCGCCGGCCAACGAGAAGCTCGCCCACTCCTTCATGTGGAATGACCGGGATTGTTCAACACCGAACCTATTTCTGTGTGAACGTCTTCGTACCGGAGGTAAGCGAACGTTAACACAGTCCAAGCAGATATACGATACGCCGGATTGTACATCACAATCATCGCTCTGATGATACAGGCATCAGACACCTCTGAAACGTCGATCAATACTTAATAGACTAAACGGTGCAGCACCGCAGAGAACATTTATCTTTATAGACGGATGTCTTCTGGGTTTAAGCGCCGTGTAGTCTGGTAGGAGTTAACCAACGTCATCGCCCTGAACCTCGAGGCAGCAAGGACTTCTGAAATGATGGAAAACTTCTACAAGTCTACACGGCGCTACAACCCCAGAAGACCCGTGGAGACCGCAAATCCTGCTTAGCCATCTTCAGTGTCTGTATAAGAGAGGGGATGTGCTACGTCGAACGTGTCGACAAGGAGTCACTGTTGTTGATATTTTGCCTGTGTGTACAGTGACGATCAAGGAGGTGTGGCCGTCCGAGTGCAACCGGACGGTGGCTCTGAGCAGGGAACAGCCTCGAGTCACCGTGGTGAGTCCTGGTTTCCCGCACCAGTACCCAGACAACGCCAAGTGTGACACTGAGATCATCGCGCCCTCTGGGTACCGCATCGTCCTGGACTTCGAGGAGCTTGTCCTGGAGAAGGAGCCCTTGTAAGTACATACAACCTTCCCTTACCTTATTCGTTTTATCACTTGACGAATTTTCGTGGTATATAAGCCCAGGGGTTCTCAGACTTTTCAAGACGTGAGGCTACGTACATCCACTGTTTCTTATCGGCTCGCGAGCCGCGGGGTTACATACGAGGAAAATTTGTTGAAATGCAACGACGATTTCATAGACGTTATATCGTAAATATATTCTGAAATGAAAATGTACTCGTATTTTGAATTATGCTGACGTTTCGAGGCTTACCGAGTCTAGTTATCTGCCAGAGAAACGTGTTTAAAAAAAATTTGATGATGGCGATAGATGATCTGCTTAATTTATAATTGCTTTATAGTAGTTTGAAAATGAGAATTTCATAATGTTGTATGTCTTCGATTCCATCTTTGTGTGCATTTATCTATCATCTGCGTTCCTCGCCCACTCTACGTCTATGGTGAACCATCCGAATGGGACGTTTGTTTCGAAACTTCCTATTATACCTCCCTACTCATTTAAAATGCGGTTCCCTTCCCCTGAGAAACTGTCCAACTTCTCACTGCAACTCACTCTACCCATACTTCTTCCTACTAACTCCAACTGTGACTCACAAATTGATTAGTTTTCTTCAGCTCCGTGTTTTTGTCCGTCATTTTCTTCTCGTGGTTGTAGAATCTATACTGTCTTAAAATCTCTCCCTTCTCCCTTCCCACACAATGCCCCATTTCTCCACCCTCTTTCCCCCCTCAATTAAGCTCTTTAAATGTTTACTTATCTTAGCAGTTTCATTTTCATACGCCTGAATGTAGACCACCTGGCAAGTAGACGCTCTCCGTCGCGTCACAGTAACTGAAGTGAAGTGGAAAACGCATTTTTCCTATTACGTTATAGCATTAAACTATTTTCAGCTGTTACTCAGAAATCCTCAGCGTTGATAAATTACCCCACCCACGTTTTATGGAATCAGAAGGTTCATTACCATCCTCACGGCTTCCGCTGGACCACATCCCAAGCGAAAATTGTCTAATTGCATTCCTAAAGTTTATTTTGTTAACCAACGCCTAATTATTCCAGTCCTATCTGCGCCTCGGTCCTTCACACTGAAAGGTATTGTTATCAACATTTGATTAATGATCATTTACTGTTAAGGGATGGTTTGGTCTTATGGGATAATATTTATGAATGTTTTTGTTACAACCGTTGCCATGGCAATGCGGTTGAGGGTTTCTGGGCCTCGTGACTTCGTGTTTGCTACTTTAGATTCCTGTCATTCATACCTCGTTTTATTACGCTTCGAAGATATTGTGGGTTTTTTACAAATTGAAGGTTTGTGGCAACCCTGCGTCGAGCAAGTCTACCGGCGCCATTTTTCCAACAGCATGTGCTCACTTCGTGTCTCTGTGTCACATTTTGGTAATTCTCGCAATGTTTTTTTAGACATAATGCTATTGCACACTTAATAGACTACAGTATAGTGTAAACATAACTTTTATATGCACTGGGAAACCAAAAAATTCGCGTGACTCGCTTTATTGCGGTGGTCTGGAACCGAACCCGCAATATCTCCGAGGTATGCCTGTATATGACTCTGCAAGGATGTAAAGTGTTTGACACTTCATGTAATTTTAACACTTATATTTTAAAAAAAACTGGTATATTATAGAATTATTATCTCCAAAAGCACAGCTGAATTTATAAAATAACGGATTTTCTGTTCCGCGTTGTCGTTTTGTTTTTGTGTGGTTGGCACCGCTGTGCGGCAACGATCTCTGGAGCTATTACGTCACAATGGGGGTCTCCCTTGTTCCAATAAAGGTCGTCAATGAAACACCGTTCCAATCAGTGGCTTGTAAACCGCTAAACCCCCGCTTCAAGAGTAGAGAAGGTCTGTCAAGCCGGCATAGAATTGCGTGTTATGAGCACATTAATTTCCCGTGGGTTTTTTTTTATCGGATCTTCTTTCATTTATCACTGATGAGCAGTAAATGCTTCTGGAAACTACGTTTAACCCTTTAAAAGCTCTACAGGAACTATGTGTACCACTTGCTTTAACAATACATAGTCCAGCGTTTTTCACACAGAATCATATAATCTTGTAGAATGAAATCTGTTATTTTAAATTCTGATTATAAAATAAATTAAGGTTAGTTCTCATGGCGTCATGAAGAGAATATTTTGTTCTTTTGCTTGTTTAATGTTTTCAGTTTCAACCACTCGTTGACTACGTTATTTTAAATATTGTACCAATTGACTAATCTGTATTATATCTCCTCATTTTTGAGTTTCTCGTGTTTTGTCTCTTGTTTTTGAAACGAAGCAATTATGATCCAAAACCACTTCGAGTAGAAACAGAATTTTGTCCTATATGCTTATTTAATTTCTTATTTTCTCCTTACTTCCGTTGGTCTGTTAGTTATGATGTCTGCTCCAGTCACGTAAAGGAAAACTAAAATTTAAGAAAAATAAGTAACCGTTTGAAACGTTCCTCATCTGACTTCTCTTTCACGCAAATTATTTGTTTCTTATCAAACGCATTTATTTATTTACAAAGAAAAATAAAGTTATAATATCATGCCAGAATGCCCGTGTGTCATTCTTGACTAATAACGTTTGAACCAGTCAACGGATTCTAATTAAATTTGGCATGAACATTACGCCACTACAGGTTGCCTTGTATTTGTAGCTTTTAAATCCCTACTATCAGTAGTACCAATCTGGCAGCTGTGCGAACGTCAGAGGTAGTAACGACACAAGTTCCACGTGATATTAAAATGTTATGTGGCACTAAAACTTTGCGAATTTTTTTTCCTAAATAACCAATAAAAATGTGTTTCTTGTTGTCTCGGAAGTTGTAGTTATGACTACCTGGAAATCTTCGAGGGTGCTGCGTGGACCAATTCGAGCGGTGTGGCCACCCGGAAGCTGTGTGGAGACTGGAGCTCGAAGTTGAAGCTGCTTCGATATGTCAGCCGTGGTCCGAGGATTCGACTGCGATTTGTGTCCGACTATTCTCACCACTTCGGAGGCTTCAAGGCAAAAGTCTCCATGGAGAACGGTGAGCATTAAATCGACTCACTCACTCACTGCGCGTTAGCATGTCACGTGGTGTGAAATTTATCTGTGAGGGCCATTTCCTATCAGTCATAATCTGTGTCGTCTGCGGTTCTCACGGCGAGTACGAAGATGGCGGCCATCTAGGTTGTAGCGCCGTGTAGTCTGTTAGAAGTTCACCAATTTTTCAGAGGTCCTTGCTGTGCGTCACCGCCATTTTGTTTTATTATCCAGAGACAGGCCAATTTTTTTCTCAGCTCTGTTTTCCATAAAAAGACTGAAACGTATTGGATCGATTTCTGTCTGTTCCATTATTGTTAACAGATGTCATTTCCGATTTGCGCATCAAGATAACGACAACCTTCTTTTTGCTCTTTTTTAGTTACTTCTGCCCTGAATAGCTTTTTCTCCATTTGTTATATCTTAATTTACATTGAATGAGCAATACGATTTATGTGACGAAATAAGGCGTTCGTGCAAGTTTTGTTGACTGAAATGGAAATGGTACCGACAAAATGACTTGTGTCTACATTAAGTCGGCAAATGTTATTCTGCTAATATTTTGCTGTAGAATAGTTAAACAATATAAACATTTTTTGTACTTAAGGGTCTAGTCGTAATTTGTCTTCATAAATGTCGTAATCTTAGCTTCAGTGGTCGAATAATTATCGCTGAGTCGTGAACATTTGTGACAGCTACCATGTTCTTTGGAAATTTACAAAAAAAAAAGAAGATAATTTAAACAAAATATTTTTATATTTCGAAAGTCTACGGTATGAATTTGCTCTAATATCGATCTCATCTTGTAATAAATTTATGTTCTTCTGCCACGTTGTTGCTAATTTGTAGAAAATTAGAAAGTGCGAAGTTTGGGTAGCCACCAGTGGCATACGTCCATATTAAATTTCGTAAAAATCGGTCATTTGTTTAAAAATTTGAAACCTCTTTTTTTGGTTAAGAAGGGACAAGCTAACATTTTTATGTACATTTGCCTCAAACAAATACAGTTTCTGGATAGAGTCAAGTCTGTGTCGAGGAAATTGTGTTCCCAGTTTCTGGATAGAGTCAAGTCTGTGTTGAGGAAATTGTGTTATGACATCTCAAACTCCGTGATAACCTCAAATCTCGTATTTACTGACAATGTTAAGAGTAAAATTTATGATTATGCAGTTGTTTAGTATCTCTGTTGACGTCATATTTTTATTTGCAGAAAATAAACATCAATAAAATATATGAACGAAAAAGCTCAGTCCAAATGAAATATTCTTTCTTGTTCTTGAACAAATTATTTAAAAAATGTTGTTCATTTGCAGGGCTTTGAAAGTTTCGTGACTTTTGGGACACCTGTACTAGCTAATGCCCATAGAACATAAGTGTGCATCTGCTTGTCTGTGTGCCATATGTGACGTTTCATAATACGTTTATGTGTGAAGCGCAGGCCGTCTGTCTTTTGTTTAGCTGCTACATTATTTTCCTCTTTCCTTTGGGACGCCAGTTTGTCGGAAACAGAACAATGGGACTGTGATGTTTAATTGTAGTTACAAACAGAATGTGTCTTCACGTTAGAGACAAGCGGAACTATTGTTATTGTAAATTGTTTTGTAGCAAATATAATTGGAAATGATGAGTCGAATACTAAATTTATGAATTATTAATTATTTCACGAGTTCTGTGGTGTTTTGTGACGGTCCCAACAACAATTATCATTAGTCTTAAGTGGTTTTTGACTCTGAAGTAATAGGTCCCTGTAGAAGCATTTAAATGTCGTGGCGTACCACAAGAACGTCGAAAATAATGTAGAAGTCTTCATTCGATGTGCCTGAATCGTACTGAGAATGTTATCATGACCTCCTCTGTGACTTGTTTCGCCTGTAGTCAGTGTGTTTACGTATTTGTTTCTTTTCCCTTCCTGGATGTCTTTGTTTACGTAACCGAAGCACGTTCACGATCTAAAGGTAAGTTTCCACGAGACCACATTTGGTCCTTGAATCACATAATTATCGCTTGCTAATTCTTCGTAGCTTTTTGGCTCCCCTGTTTCATTACTTTTATTGTAGTGACAGTTTCTTTTAACTTCAGTAGATTAGGTAATGCAAATATTTTGGGGACAAGCTCTGTCCAATTACGTAAATAAATTATGTATAAGTCTACGTAGATAACTTAAAAATATTTTATACCCGTTTGAAACTGACGATACACGTAAATATCAGAGGAAATTTGAGCACGTTAGAAACTGCATATGTATGTAACGTAAAAAAAATGATACTGATGAGTGATGAATTGGTAAGGATATAAAAGGAAACGTTCGTGGCCTATTTGTTTGAGAATTTCCCTGGGTAAATATCACGAAACATCTTGATTAGGATAGTTCGCTATGAAACCGAGAATCGAACAAGGTTCAGGCGTACTGAACTCTGCATTTCTTTGTCACGCACTGAACCCAGGACATCACAGTCTGTGTCCACTCCCGAAACGTCGCAAGATTTACCTGGATTTTGTGTGATTATCACGTTTTATTCGTTGCTTCTTCGTCATTTCATTTTCAATCTATCATTCGTCACGCGGTATCCTCCAGTGTGACAACTCTCTCTTCGTAATTGTTTTCGCTTTTTGACGTAATTTAATTTCAGCCGGAACAGCAGACCGAATGACTAGCTACATACACGCTTCCCCCAACCTCCTCATTTTTCAGTCTCCCTCATCGTCCTGTTTGTATACTAATTACAAAGAGGATTACAAGGTTTGTGAGGGCACAATGATATTTCCACTGTGTTTAGCTGAATCTCTTCTAATTCTCCAGCTATTTACTTGAAATTACATACGTGTATGAGGGAAGGGTCGGTCGTAATTGTCGTTGGCATTAATTTACTGCGAAATAAAACACACTATAAATGGATGTTTAATAAGAGATTTTAGGCCCATGCTTAGGAATCTGATGAAATATGTGTTTCAGCGGGTAAAAGTTGAAGTAGATTTGGTTTCCCCATTACGTAATCCTCTGTATACAGCCTTTGAAGGCAAATCGTTCTACGCTCCAGGAATTATAGCAAGGTTTTGACTTCAACTAATATGATTCAGAGCTGTTTTGATTATCGTTGTAATAGTAATTTTTCCGTGCTTAATGGAAAGCGTATTAGGAAATGGAGACATAGACGTACGCATTTCTGACGTCAGCATTAGATGTAAGGGGATGGTCAGCTTCATGCTACGAACACTTTACCCTTCGGCACTCAATTATAAAACGGCGGATGGGATGTAGAGCCTACCTGGACATGCAAAGAGAAATATCCTGTGCCTCCGTCGGGGATCGAATCCTGGTTGTCTAGCCTGCAGACTGAGCTGTCAGCTCCTAGAATAACCTTTTGATATTACCGATTTGTCATGTTCTTTCCTGCAATCTTTTCGGTCTCATTTGATATGGCGTTATAAGTGGTCGCAGTAGTTTTTGGCTGGTGGAGTATTCAAGGGGAAGGCTAGGAGCGAGTCACTTGTACGATAGTGTAATGTTTCGTTTACCTCCGCCAGCTCCGCTAGTGTCTCCACCTGTCAAAAAATACTGCTCCTGCTGTAACCTGGGCGTTGTTCCCCGCTGCTCTTTTAATGGGAATGGCTTCTAGCCTCACCCTCCAGAGTTCCATGTGCGACCGTAATTTAACGATGAAGTGCCTTGGTCTTCCGACATTTCTCAAGAATGAGGCAACGTGTAACATTTAAATTAGTTAGGATAATTATTTTGCATTCCTAATTGGACAGTAGATGAAAAAAATCGTATACAGTTCTGAACCTCTAATCAAATTAGAGGTTATGATAGCCTTGAAACAAAATAAAATTAATTTGAAAAAATGTTGAAAATAACAGGAACTAGTATCAGTACTCTTCAAATGAGACATAACATATTAATTATGTTCATGTTAGTGAGATTTCATCCTGTTATTTTTTCAGTAGGTATGGAGTGTGCAGATGACCGCCTTCAAATGTTCAATAGCTCCTGTTACCTGTTCGTCAGCTATCCTGAAGTCACATGGCAGACAGCTCAACATATCTGTCAAGGAATGAAGGTACATAATAATTTCTGCGATCCTGTATGAGCATATTTCCAGATTAGTTTAAAGTCTTGGTTTTGAATAATTTGTTTTTACATCTGAAATTCAGTAATAAATTACCTGAGATCTTGTCCATTTATTATCTATGATAAAGGTCACAATATTGTCAATGAATAATGGAAAGATTTATGTGACTTCTTGTATTTGAACCAGGATCTATGCTACTGAGAATTATTAAGATGGAATTAGTGGTATAAATGAAGTGGTCAACACAAATTTCGAACCCTGTTCTTCATTCATGCAGGCTGAGCTGGCAAGTATCCACAGCCTGGAAGAGGAAAACTTTGTGACTGCAAATATCCGAGACTCCGCTGAATACAGCACCAGTGCTATTTATTGGCTCGGTGGTCAGCTTGTTGCAAAGTCCATTGATCGCTGGGAGTGGGTTGATGGAACACCTTTCAGTTTCTCTGGTAATGTTTTCTTCTGCACATGTAAGAAATCTTACACCTGATCCGTTGTCGTGGAGCTAAAGTATTAAGTTCTGCTGAACAGAAGCCTCATCAGGCAAGAAGGTGACAAAATAAAAATAGTTGATGAAAGACTCTCAGGCAACAAGCTGCGTCAGCTGGCTGAATGGTGAATGAACCACATCTTCTGCTGTTTCAGGAGCCATCTCTGCTCTCATCCTCAGGGCAGCTGCGGAACGAAACTGGTCCTATGTAGCGTCACCTGACGCGGCTTGTTGCCCGAGAGTCTTTCATCAACTTCGGTCGCCGCTAAAGCTTAATTTTATGCAAAATAAAAATACTTGAAGTGCCTCCATTTGAATATAGAACGTAACCTAAACTAGTGATACATTTTTATAATGATACAGAGGAATTCTTGTCTTATATTCTGGGTAGACATCCAGAATTTTCATGATTATTAAAAAATAACAAGATGATGTAGGAATCTTTTGTTTCCATAAAAGACAAGAAATTTTTTCATTAGATCAGTGAATATTTGTGTTTAATTGGGACTTTGATGCGGGAAATTAGTTACTATACATGTTATTAAAATTCCATTAATTTCTTCTATACTATAATTCAGAGGTTATGTTGCTTGTCAAACATTCATTCCTTCACATCTGGATGGAATGTAGAGGTCATTCAGCCTTCTGTCTAATGGGTGTTTGTGACACATTCTTGCATCCATCTAGTGCAAAGAATATACATCTGTATTTCATTATAGTACAGTGGCTTAAACATGGGTAATTTTACCATTAATAATAATCCATGGCATAACAGCCCTCTGAGAGCCAAAGCTGACTAGCTTGTTTGTTGGCCTCACGTTCACATGCCTAAGCAGAGGTGAACGATCATCCAACCA